GAATATGATTAATCTTAACACTCTACTATGTCATCCAAACGAAGTAGAACTGATTCTTCTGCATCAAACAAGAAAAGAAAAACTTTATCTTTGGAATGTAAAGTTAACATTATTAAAGACTTCGATACAAAAATGAAAATTTGTGAATTAGCAAAGAAGTTTGATCTACCGGAATCGACGGTCAGAACAATTATAAAAGGTAAAGAAAAAATTCTCACAGCTGTAAAAAATGCTCAATCTTTAAATTCAAGCATCATTGGTAAACGTCACAGTATTATCGCTGAGGTGGAAACAATGTTTAAATTATGGCGTAATAATCAAGTTAATGTGAAAAATTGTATAATAATATAATTTGTTATACGTATGTATTATCTAAGATGTTTTTAAACATTTTTTTTCTAAATTATTGTTTTCTTTAGTCTCCGGTCCCAATTAAAAATAATTTGTATATATGCAAAATTATACCCCGACTTACGCGAATTCGACTTACGCGGTTATCGCTCGGTCCCACCTATCGCGTAAGTCCGGGGTATGACTGTATATTTATTCACAGTACATACTAGACATTTAAACACAATATATCGTTGTTTCGTTTAAAAATTTCAGTTTCTTCCCAACTATTTTTGTTGTTCCACTTGTGTGTTGTTTGATAGTTTACAGTTTCAATTAACTGAGTTAAACTGAATTTACACTTTAATAACGTGAATATTTGCGTTACGTTTTGGTAGAAGGCCGAGCATCTGCTTCTCCATATCGTGTCTATCATAATTATGATGCAGGCAATCATTTGGATTGACAGCTTGTATATTTCAAGCCTACGTAGTTGACCTATGGAGTGTGGTATCGGAAAAAGACATTTTTTTTCTAAAGAAATTCCAAAGACTTCTTGCGTGCATGCAATCAAAAATGCGTGCTGAGTAGTTTCGGTTTGTTTGCAGATTGGACAGTCCCCACTGTTTTGCAGATTTCTGTTTAATTTCCATTCGCTGGTCTGAAGGCAATTATGGTAAATTCTCCAGAAAATACTTTTGGCTTTGTTTCTTATAGGTAATTTAAAGACGGTGTTGATTACTTTGCTGTCTGTTAAATAGTGATCGAGCATAAGAATTTGGGATTTGGGTATTATAATATCTACGAGCATCCAATAAAGCTTTTGAGGTTTAGTAGTGAAGATCGTTTCGTCATTAAAAAATTCGGTTAGGTATTTGTAGCAACGTATGACGTCTTTTAATAGGCTGGGTAACCTGTAACTTTTGCTTAGACTTTCGCTTGTCACAATTATGTTTGGAATTTGAGGTTGCAGTAGACTTTTCGCTATCGGAGTCCAAGCCGTATATTTATATAAGTTATTAATGAGGGTGATTCTGTTTACAATTGCTTTTACAGATATATCGATTAACGCTAATCCAGCATTTTCAATATTGTTATATATAGTCGTTCTCCTAATTGGTTCGTAACTCGAAGACCATACAAATCTGGCTGTAATCCTATTTATTCTATTGGCCACTCCTTTCGTTAGAGGCTGTGTTTTTAACAGATACCAAAATTGAGATAAAATTTTTGTATTGGCTACCTTTGCTTTCCCGTACAGGGACAAGTTTCTTCCACTCCAGTGGAAAGGCTCAGCCATTTCGCTGTGCTGCCATAGTGTAAAATCGATCGGTATATGAGCTGCGCTTAAAACTTTAGGGCCTTGTTTCTCGGAATCTTGTCGCTAGTGCGCTTTACAATTCTTCTGGGTGGACACCCTTGAGGTATACTACTAACCTGCAAAGTCTCATACCGAACTGAATTTCCGAGACCGTAAGGTCCCGTTGTGAGGACGCTTATGTGGGGATAGTTTGGAAACTGTGAGGGACATGATGACGAACGTAAAACACGCCTTTTAGATCCGATTTTATAATCACTTTCTACAAAATGCAGGCTACAGACAACTGACCAGCTACTTGGTATCCACGGCGATCATTTTTTATTTCCTTGTCGTGATATAACATTTAACCACTTCTGTCTCAGTTGTTCGTTCGATGGGATTTCATGAAATGTAACTTTTAATCCTTCGGGACAAGTTTTAGATCCAGCATATGATGTGCAAAAAGGCAAGCAACATTTTTAGGCATAATGGACTATTTGAACTATACAATAAATGTATTTATATCTATATACCAAGCTGCTGTTGAAGAGAAAGTCCCGTCAACCGTATATAACTGACGAATAAGGCTGACTCCATTACCGTAAAAACGGCATAAAAACCCCTCGCTGTAAAAGCTTTTAATAACGTGACCCTGATATTTAACACTGCTCAACTCGCATTTACGTAAAACCAACGTAAATGCGAGTTGAGCAGTGTTCAAAATGCGAGTTGAGCAGTGTTCAACTTTGGACGCGAATACGGCCGTAAAACGGTACCATCCACCAATCAGAAGTCAATTAAATCTAGGTCATTGTGATGCGTGCGAAAATGGCCGAAAACGAGCTTTTGCGTACGTACTGCACGTTCCCTCGTGGCTACTCTAGAATAGATCCGGAAAGATTTATCGAAAACATCCGAAAGTATTCGTGTATCTACGACAAGAAGTATCCCGATTATAATAATGCATGCCTAAATCACGCAATACGGACGGTCAAAGGAAAATCCTTCAATTTAGAGGAGTATATAATGAAAAANCTACACGTGAAAAAAATAAGATCGCTATTGTATATTAGAATATTAGTGGCGGAGTAGCGGGTGGAAACAAAAAGCCAGATTCGCGCACGCGCTTTACAGAGCACCAACCTCACCCGGTTTAGCCGGTGGAAGCCTGGGACCTCGGGTGGCTGCTACATGTATAACGCATCCAATTCTATCCAGGTCCGGTTCCGGGCTGTTAGCCGCCCGCCTGCTAGATATTTGGCCGCCCTCTCCCGATTACGTGAATCGCGAGTAGATTTATAACTTAATCCAACCGATAAGAATTTACCTGTATGTTTTTATGATAGTTTACTGTGTAGTTGACGGGAGTTTTAAAAAATCCGTTAAAATATTTGATATATTTATTCCGCTCTCCGATTTTATATTACTCACGGATTTCAATGTTAAAGCGGTGATATTACGATTTCGTGTCTCATCTTTAATAAGGGGATGTAGAAAAAAACGTGTACAATTCTTGTATAATGTTAAAAAATTAACTGTTACTTTGGTAGCATACTTTACAACTAAATTTAATGAATGAGAGAGATGCACGAGGTACAGAAAAAGCTCTAGAATTTATTTTCCTTAAATTTACGATTTATGTATCCGTTTGTCATAAAAATTTGTCTTTCCACTTTTTCCCGAGACTACAAATATTCGAGTACAAAGTAACTGATTTCAACTTATTTCTACTTAAATAATTAAATTAAGTGAATATGGATTGATGACAGGATTGATTGACCAATCAGCGCTTCGTAGCTCTGTCGGAGGTCCGCAGGTGGTCCGATGCTCGGCGGCCAATCAGCGATCTCGCATTCAAAACCACTGGTCGTTTTTCCAACCGACTTCTGCAGCGTCGACTAGTTTGAAATAAAATAAAAAACAACAATAAAAAGGCGGGAATTGTATGTCCAGACGATTCTAATCCCGACATGTAGTATACGTTTGGGTTATATCGAAATAAAATTTGTTCCTAATCACAAAATATTAATAACATTTTCAATAGTTACTCCAAATTTTATTTATATTAAAATGTTATAAATGTTTAGGAGTTTGTTTCAACTGTTTTCCCTGTGATCACTAAGAATTTTTAATAACCGTCATGGATTCCGACAGTTGAAGTGGGCATCCGGTAATCTCTTGTAATTCGATTTATTACCACAAGAACCAGCATACTATAACTAGTCAACAGCCTGATTTTAAGTCCTAAGCATCGGAAGGCCTTTACCATATTTGCTTAAACTCAGTGGCTACCGTGGATGTCAGCCGCCAGGGGCGGAAAAAAATTTCGGCTCCCCTTATTTAGGTATTTCAATTTAAAAGACCAAAATTCAGTTTTGTCACAAAACAAGCAATGAAAAATTCGGTGGTAGTGCAACGACCTGTTTAAAATAGCTCTATTGGTATTAGTGGTGTATATGAACGCGAATGAATCGTACAAACAAAAATAAAAAAAAAGGTCAACAGGTTTCGCAGGATTTCCTTGGATAAAAAATTACCAGTTCACCTGGACGGCGAGCCGATTCCCGGACTGTCCGGACGATAACACTATCGTAAGCGCGATGCAAGAATAGATTAGGATGTTTCAAATTTTTACAAGATATTATTATTATTTATTGTAAAATTTTGCCGCCCCCACTACGGTACGCCACTGCTTAAACTCTGTAGACAGTGCTATTACAAGGGCCGGATGGCCGAGCGGTCAAGGTGGCAGCCTACCGCTTCGACTGAAATAATTAAATCCTAAATATGCGGCCGGATGGCCGAGCGGTCAAGGTGGCAGCCTACCGCTCTGGGGGATCGAATCCGAACGGGTCAAGGAATCCCCAGGAAGCTTTCGGGGGGTGGTCCGTTCGGATATGTCGGGCCCCGTCCCTCACCACCCGGCCGCCCCACTGTGGGCCTAGCCGAACCCATAATGGGCCTGCTATAAGAGGCCCTCTTAGTGCCCACAGGGCGGAAAGAGTATAAAAAAAAAACTATTACAAGAACATACCAATATAGTGCACACTGTACAGTATGGACATTGTGTAAAGACAGAGAAAGGATTGTTAGATCATTTGAAAATGGCAAAAGTTATACTCGAAAGCTTTTGCCTAGTTTACATTACAGATAAATGGAAGTATAGCTATAGGTTTATAATTTGTTAATAGCAAAATACCGTGTTTGATAAAGATGACAAAGATTTATGAATACGAAAAACTATCGTAGACGAAAAAGCAATTAAATATATATCATGACATTTATAAACGCTTTTATTTTTTTCTTGTATGATCTTTTAAATACTGGAATTTAAAAGCATGGAGACAGTTATTTTATATCCGTTACAAATTGAATATTTAACGGATTTTCCGTTATAACCCGTTGCGATAGTTTTCCTTCACGTCCGCTCCGGTGGCGTGATGCTTTGCCTCCGTCTGGATAGCGCCAACCGTCTCCTTTTACCACGCATGTGCCAACATTCAAATTTGACCAATCGTGTTGTT